ACACACACACACACACACACACACACACACACACACACACACACACACACGGGGTATCCTAAGAGGTAGGTTGTGTTTTATTCATTGTGTTTGAGAAAACAAAGCTGGGATTTGGGGGAAAAAATGGATTTTTGCTTTCCCCAAACCCCCTGCCGGAGACTGACAACTCCCCCACCCAACCAGGCTTCTCTCCTCCCAGTGTTAGGTTAGGGTGCTGGGCAACAGATTTGTCCTCAGTCACCTCTTACGTGAGTTCTAGCCATCTTTTCCCTCCCCTACACTAGAGCATGAGCTATACTGGGGGAAAAGACCTGGAATCATCTAAGCACTTCTTTACATGCTGAGTAAAGGAGGCTCCTAGAAGTGACTTTTCCAAGTCAGTCTGCTAGTGAGGGACAAGCCTCACCAAAATTCTCACTAGACTTTGTGGGGGGTATGTGAGGGTGAGGTGGGTTCTCTGGTGTCATCCCCACCTCTGCCCTGTTTCTGTCTTCCAGGAGGTCTCTTATCCCCGGTAAAGACCCAAGAGTTCAACTACCCAGACCTGGCCTAGAAATGCAGGGTTTTATAGGCATTCCTGGCCAGTCCAGTCTCATCAGAGCCCCCAAGGCCACAAAGACACCAGGCCAGGAAACACCTTGGCTAAGGGTGGATGTTTTGTTCTCAAATCTAGGGAACTCTCTGAATTCATTTAATCATCTCATCCTGCAATCATGAATTCATGCAAAATCATTTGAGTGCCTACTGTGTGTCAGGCATGGTGCTGACACACTGAGGAACTTCACATGCAGAGAACCAGCTTTTGGGCTCTGGAATCAGGGCTTAGTCTGGTGGAGAGGCAGCTCTGAAGAAGAACCACGACACAGGAGCTAGAATCTGCTATGGGGAGGGAGCCACAGGAGGAAGCAGAGAGGTCCCAGTTGGCCCGTCTTGTTCGGATTGCTTACCCGATTCCTTGTCTCTCTTAAAGTTTGACTCTAACGCCCCCAACTGGAGTTGCTTTTCTGACTAGCCTGATAGTAGTTCCCTCCCCCCGGTCATTTTTGGGCATATTTCCCTGTTTTGTTTTGTTTTTTAAGATTTATTTATTTATGCATACAAGAACTGGGGTACAGGCCAGAGGTGCAAGGGTTGGGGGGTGAGCAGATTCACCAGAGACAGAGTGTTTTTCAGAGAACAGGCAGATCTACTGAAAAACACTGCTGAGGGGAGCAGTGGATGGGTCAGGAGAGGTCTGCTGTGCTGTGTGTCAGCTCCCTGCCTGGGGATTGAACTCTGTGCTGCAGTGGCTGTGGACAGCTTCATAGTGCTGTGACTTAACCCCTTGTGCCACCAGGGAGGGCCTATACCTCCCTGTTTTATTTTCCATGACAGCATGTATCACCATCTGAAGTGGTCTCAGTCATTGCCTGTCCCTTCCAAATCCACCGTAGACTCCTTGCTAGGGTTTATTTGGGAGATGCTAACAAGTCTTCACCCCTTATCATTCTTAAATCAGTGTTCAAACCTGTGTGGACCAGGAACCCCGTAAAACAGCCTGTTGATCCTCCCAGTGGTAGGGACCAGTGTGTCTACGCTGTATATGTGCCACTCCACAAACGCAGGCCCTTATTCACCCCACTCAGGGATGTGTGCTCTGAACCTCGAATGGCCCTAGCACCCAGCACTCCATATGATTGCTCAACGTATGCATGTTCATAGGTTCTCTGCAGCAAATCCCCCAATGCCCTAGGTCCTGGGCAATGAGCTTGTGGAGAGAAAGGGCTGCAGAGGTGAGGCTTCCAGGAAATGATGGTCATTAACAGAGCCAGGCTCCCTGGGGCTGGGGTTCCTACTTCCATGAGACCTGATTAGAGGAGGCCCACAGTCTGGTGTTAGCCTGGCGAGCTGGGCCCCTTCATCTCTTCCCCACCCCACCTCTTCCTTCCGTTTGTTCATCAACACCTTCCCTGGCAACCATGAATGGTGAAGGGTGGGGAGGGCCTGCCAGTTTCATCTCTTGATCAGATAGTCAAGTGACAATTTCTGCCTTGGGTGTGAGGCCAAGAGGAAATGTTAACGAAGTTTCAGATTGTGGAAGAAACACCTATTCACCCTGTGTCCCTGTCTGTTCTCCCTTTCTAGGTTTCAGTTTTATAACCACTGTAACATTTGTTCAAAACCAAGTTTGACCAATTTCCACCTGGGTGACCTCGGCCCAAACACCTAAACTTTCAACTTCATTTTCCCTTTAGAATAATCATCCTTACTTCGTCAGTTGCATTGTGCATTTAAAAAGGAAAAGCATGAAAACCTCTGGAATTGAAGGTGCTGACTTTGTGGATACTCAGTAGGGAATTGGTTCCCAGTCTCTTTGCCTGCTCTGTCTCCTCTCCTAACTCACTGTGCTCAGCTTCTCCTCTGATTTAGGGCTCTCTGCAAGCTGCTGTCCTCCAACAGCCGGGTATTAAAAAACCAATTTTCTAAGGTACTGATCTCTTCAGGGATTTGGGGAGGCCCCCTGCATTGCTGGGGAAGCCAGAAGACTGATTTGCTGGGGGGAGGAAGGGGGGAGACCGGCTGCTACTGAGTGGATGGAAAGCTATTGGGCAGGGCAGGGAGGGCTAGGCTCGCCAGTCTGGTGTTGCCTTCTCCCTTTCTCCAGTTCCCTCACATACTGCCTTTAAAAAAGGTTAATGTTCATTTTCATAATAAATGCAAGAATCCAGCCTTCATGTTAAAATGCAAACACAAGAGTTACAATTTCATTTTCCTTGGATCCACTGCCCCTCCTTCAAGTTGACCTTCCTCCCTGCAGGTAATCAGCTATCTTTTCGGCCACACTGCTCCTTTGTAACATCTCCTCAGGGATGCTCAGGCTATATCAGGTCAGGCTGCAAAGGCTGGGGGCATGCCACCAAATTCTGTTCCCTCCTAACCAACCCCACTTCTTATAACCCTCCCAGAAGCTTCCAGGAGATACTTTCTGTCCCTCCTCTGGAGTCCTACAGGTGCTTAGCTGGCAAGCAACAAAAGCCTAATGACACGTGCCCTCTTACACTGCCACTGCTACACTGCCACTGCGTCCCGTCCTGGAGGCTGGTCTTAACGCTTCACTCGGACGGGTGCCCTCCGCGGCCAAGCCGGTAACCGGCACATCCTCTACACCTCCACAGACACGCAGGCTCTGGGAGGGCACTCACTATGAATGAGGTTAATAAACACCCTTTGCCCTTAATCTATTATAGGTCATTCTATATCAATCCTTATTCGAACAAGAGGTGCCCATGGGGTCAACGGCTCTGGCCACGAACTGAGTGCCTTCTGCTGAGCCCTGTCTTTCCCTGATGAAGAAGACCCAGAGTTAGGTGGCCTGGGGCCCAGCACTGGATTCAGACAGATCCTTGCTCAGCCACTTGCTAGCTGTGGCTTTAGGAAAGTCGCGGGACACTTCAGCGCTTTCTTCACGTACACAAGGCGGACACACTGGTTCCCACCTCATGGGATATTGCGAGGATCAACAGGGATCATGGCGCAGGCTGTTTTATGGGCCTCCAAGTCCATACAGGTTTCACCACGGACTTAGGCGCGATGAAGGGCGAAGACTTGTTACATCTCTCCGACGGGCTCGGCGGAGGTAGCGGAGGGAGCGTACCTGCGGGGAGCGCGTCTCGGTGCAGGGGCCGAGGTGTGGTGGAGGTGACAGTATGAACATACTGATATTTTTCTCTTCTCCCTTCGAATGCGGCCGCGCGCATTTTCCTTTGCTTCCTCCCTCCCCCCCCCCGTCCCCTCCAACCCCCAGCCCTGAAGAATCCCGAGTTTAAGTGCAAATAGTAGAATAATGTAGAAAAGGTCACCTAAGCGGCGGCCGCACGCCCTCTCCGCGCCCCGCCCCGCCCCTCGCCCCGCCCCCTCAGTGGCGGGGCCGCTGATTGGCTGGCGCCTGCGCCGCAGGGTTTTTAAGGCCGGGTCCCCGCGGCGGCTCTGCAGAGGCGGCGTGCTGGAAGCGGGGGGCTGGTGCTCGGGCGGCTCGGGCGGCTCGGGCAGCTGGCGGTTGAGGCGCGGGGAGACGCGGCTGACGGAAGGTAAAGGGGCTGTTCAGTACTGAGGCGGCCCTAGGGCCTGGGGAGCTGGAGTCCGCGATCGGAGGAGGACGGCGGGCGGAGTGTCGCCGGGCTCTGGGGAGGGGATCGCGGTGTAAGGAGGGGCCCGTCGACCGCCTGAAGCTATGGAGGTCAGCCTTAATCTCTGGTCTCAGCGTCCCTACGCCAACTCTTAATTTGGGGGTGCTGCCTGACCTCCCATTCCGATAAGGATTCTCGCCTGGGGAAAAGGGGTGGCGCTTTATGCTCCTGACCCACAAGCTAGGGAGAAGAGGCGCTGGAAGCCCACATCTTAGCCGGGTTGAGTCTTCACTCCCAACTTCAGCGCCCCGGGATCTGGGGGTTTCTCTAGGTCTCATCGCAGCTGTCAGGGCTCCCAGCCTCTCTGTTTGGGTGCTACCTTGTTAAACCTGCAGCTGCTCAAAAAAAAAAAAAGGAATTTTGAAAAGCAAGAATGAAGAATGGGTGTCTGCTTTAGGGAAAGGTCAAGAAGTTGCAAATATGTTTATTGTTAAATCTCTGTTCCCTTTTCCCTCTCATGACCTTTCAGGTAACCCGGCTGTGGCCCCAGCGCCAGCAAATTCAAGGCTTTCTCCCTGCATTTCTTTGAGCTGCAAGACCTTAGTTGGAGCTTGCCATGGGGAACCACTTGACCGAGATGGCGCCCACCACCTCCTTCTTGCCCCACTTCCAGGCCCTGCATGTTGTGGTCATTGGGTTGGACTCGGCTGGAAAAACCTCCCTCCTCTACCGCCTCAAGTTCAAGGAGTTTGTCCAAAGTGTCCCCACCAAAGGCTTCAACACAGAGAAGATCCGGGTTCCCCTGGGGGGGTCCCGTGGCATCACTTTCCAAGTGTGGGATGTTGGGGGGCAGGAGAAGCTGCGACCACTGTGGCGCTCCTACACGCGCCGGACAGATGGGCTGGTGTTTGTGGTGGATGCTGCCGAGGCCGAGCGTCTAGAGGAGGCCAAAGTGGAGCTGCACAGAATCAGCAGGGCCTCGGACAATCAGGGTGTGCCTGTGCTGGTGCTGGCCAACAAGCAGGATCAGCCTGGGGCGCTGAGTGCAGCCGAGGTGGAGAAGAGGCTGGCAGTCCGGGAGCTGGCGGCTGCCACGCTCACCCACGTGCAGGGCTGCAGTGCTGTGGATGGGCTGGGCCTGCAGCCAGGCCTCGAGCGTCTGTATGAGATGATCCTTAAGCGGAAGAAGGCAGCCCGCGTGAGCAAGAGAAGACGGTGACCTGAGGCTGCCCCCTCCCTACCCGTAGGGGTCTGCAGACTTGGACAGCCAGGCAGAGCCTGTGACCCCTCACTCAGCCCTGGGTCAGGACCTGCCCACCATGGTGAAGGACATAGGATCATATTGGGGGTCCTGTTTTGGAATCACATTGGGGAGGGAGGAAAATGGGGTGTTTTCTTACATCTCACCCTCATCTTAACCTCTGGAGAAGTGGAGGCTGCAGGACTGTGGAGCTTAAATGTAAACTGACTCTACCTCGACCCTGTTTCTTGTTATCCTTCTCTGATTTTTGATTGGATGTATTTTGGGGCAAAGGAAAGTTGTTTGGTGAATGCATTTGGGATGAACGAGATCTGTGTTGGCCCTGCCCCCTCTCCACTGGGGAGTCTCCCCATGCTATTTTTCTAGGGATGCCAGTCACAGCCGTCTTTATTTTGTGCCTGTGAGAGTGCCAAGACCCCACTTCATATTTGTAGGTCCAGAACCCTTTTTATAAGCTGTGTGTGTCCTCTGTATGATTATTTTTAACTTTTTTAGCATTTGCCTGTAAGTTATTAAAGACTGATGATACTGTAGCTCTAACCTTGGTGTGGTAGTTTCCTCCTTACCTAGACCCACGGAAAATTCAGGTTTCTATATTTGGGCGGGGGTGGAGTGCACTTACCGCGAAGCTGAATTTCCAAAGCAGGTATTTTTCTAGAAAAGTAGTTTATGGGATAGCTGATGGAGATTCCTGGAAGAGTTAAACCCGCCTCCCAAACAATTGCCTGATTGCTGTCCTTTTGGAGGGAGGTCCCCTTCTCTTTTCTCCTTAACACTCTGCCCCTCATCCTTTGGCTTTTATCATGTGGTCCTTGCAGATTTCACTTCAAATTTTGCTGGTCTAAATCCTCCTTATTCCTTGCTGTGGAGATAACTTCTCATTTTATATAGGTTAAGTCCTCAGTGAGCCATGATGCCCAACCTTCCCCCGTTTCCCAGTACTCAGTTTATCTGATTTTCTTCTTTGCCTTGGGGGATGTGGAGAGAATGGAAAGTAATGTTTTCCTGGCTGTCAGCCGCAAGCCGCCTTGTGTGCTCAATCCTGCTGACTGCAGCTCCCTGGCAGCAATGGCAGAGGCTGGTGCTGGGGAGGCCTGGGCTGGATGGAGCCAGCCAGGTCCTGTGACTAAGCTGTGAGTCTTCCAGCTCTGGGAACAGGAGCTATTCCCAGGAGAGGGGCAGTGGTAATGGCTGTTTATGCCTGGTGGGAGTGGAGTGAGGGCTGCTGGACACCCACTGCCCAACCTTGGGGAGGAGGGGGAGGGAAGGCCTCCCCATGTTAGCAGTGACAATAAGAATCAGATGCTAATGTTGTAGGCCTGTGGCCTTCTGCCAGGACCAGACTCTCCCTCTGCACCGGCACCGGGGCCAGCTGTGTCTGAGGGAACACAGAACAGGCAGATTCTCCTAATCTTTCTGGGTCCCAGGAGTGAGTAAAAAAACCAAGTGGCAGTTCTTCCTAGTCTTCCAGGCACCTCCAGTCCTACACTCCTTCTCCCGCTTTGTGCAAACAATCCCCAGAACAAGTGCAGAATCCCTGATCTAGATTCAGAAAAAGGACCTGAGGAGGGAAGGCAGGCAGGCATGGGCAACCCCACCCTAAGGAACAGAAGTGCAGTTCTGCTGCTGAGTTGGGGCCAGTGCTGATTAGCTACTGCCCTCCCCACCCCCCACGCCTCTGCTGTGGCTGGCAGGACCCGGGTGGTGTGCACCCATCCGGAAGGGTGCCCAAGTATGCGTCAGGGCTGGGGCCTACCCTACAGAGCTGCTGGGCTGGTTCTGCTGGGGACAGGGCTTGTGCTACCTGGCCCTCCTCTACACAGGCTGTGACTCATCTCAGTCCTGGGGCCAGCCAGGCAAGGCCTGGCCAGAAAGCCCCTCTGTCTGCTGGGAGCTCTATTGTCCTATTCCATCCCAATTCTGTTCTCTGTCTCAAAATCTCCAAGCACATGTTTTCTCCCTCTTAGGTCCCCTGGGAGCTGAGTCTCTGGACTTGGGGGAAACTTAATGCAGAGACGCTCCTTCCTTCTTAACAGAGGGGTCACCATGGTGCCAGCTCCTAGTTCTTGTTCTGTCACTCACCTCCCCTCCCTATTTGGTTAGATAGAACCTTCTGCTCCCCCAGTCTCCAGCCCTGGGTGGAGGCCCAGTCCCAGAGACCTGTGAATGTCCCAGCTCTTCCTCAAATCTCCATGACCTGACCAGCTGGTGGAGCGTGGAGGAAAGGGGTGCTGGCAGCAAGTGAGAGTGAGATGGAGAACTCAGCTGCTCTGATGAGGTTGGGGGCAGAAAAGCGCACTGGGGACTTTTTATCAGAAAGCTGCATTCTGGTGGGCTGGGGATGGGGAGCTCCTGCCTTGGTCCGTCAAAGAGATGGAGAACTGAGAGGGAGGGTCAGCCTGGTGGGTTGGCTAGGCTAGAGGTTGCTTGGGTAGGAGAGTCACCCTACTCCACAGTCCCCTCCAAGATTCTGCATGTTGAGCCCTGGGCCACTGGCTTAGAATGGGGTGGGATTAGGGTTAGAGGTAGGTTGCAATAAGTTTCCTAGTCTCAGCTTCTTTATTAAGTAGAAGTTCTCTGGAAGCCTGAGGTGGAGGCTTCCTGAGTGGAGAGGGTCTCTGGGGGGCAGGAGTGGTGGGCAGGAGTGGATACTTGTGAAGTTGAAGGAAGCGATTGGATTCAGTTGGGGCTCCCTTCTGAATTGCCCTTCCCCCACCAGCCACTTCCGCTCTTTGCACATCTTGGATTGCAAAGTCCAGAGAGAGGGTACCTCCCCAGGGTGTCCCCTGTCTCTGGCCTCTCCTCATGAGGCCAAAGACGGTAGTGGCCCCTCATTTTCCTCCAGCCCCCCTGTATGCACTTGGGAAGAGAAAACACAGAGAAGGAAGGACATCCCCGAGGCCCAGAGAGGGCAGCGGCCTGCCCAAGGACACACAGCTACTTGGCGATCTATGCCTCCCAGGCCGGCTTTCTGTACTCCAGGAAGCAGGCAAGAGGAGATGGGAGATGGGCCCAGCCAGTCCAGTATCTCAGAGTGCTGACCTCCACCTCTCCCTCTCTGCCTTGATTAGGTTGAGGCCAGGATTTCCATTCCCCTCACCCCCTTCCTGAGGAATGGGAACTTTATCTCCCAAGCCCAGCAGAGCTCTGGGCTCAAATCTGGTCGAAAGTCCCCACCCTCCTTTTACACTGACCATGTGTCTTTTCAGATCTTTCTTGAGTCGGTGTGTTTTGAATTCCACCCCCCTCCCCGGACCGGGACTCACCCCCTTCCCGGGGCCAGGAGTGTGAAGGACCGGCTGTTCTCCAGCACAGGCCTTCTTTGAAAGGAGATCAGTGAGACAAGGAAGGTGTGAGGGTAGTTAAGGGGGGACCCAGCCAGCATGGGCTGGGCTGGACAGTAAGGGGTGGGCAGTCTGTACCAGACATCATTTCCGAGGCCATCTGCAAAACTATGGCTTCGGAATTTGTGGGAGGATGTTATGGGACCTCCTCCCCTGGCTAACTCAGAAGAGAGTATTTGTTCTTATTTCCTGTAAAAATATTTTTTTTACACTCTCACTCCGCTGCCTGATTACAAAGTAATCAATCTTTGTGGTGAAACTTAGAGAAGGGAGTACCCCCAATCTAAACTTGAGCACTAGTTAAATATTGTGAATGGATTTTTTATATACAGCTTCCAGATAGTTCTTGCTCTACATACACCAAAAAGGTATGTATCGTTAACACACATGGCATTTTATAAGGTATACTGTTGCACAGCTCTGCTTTTCTCATTTATGTATTGAGCATTATTCAATGTCAGGATATATGGATTTTTTTCATTCTTGCTGATGACTACTTGAGATTCCATTGTATGTGTGTCCCGTCATTAACTCATTAAGTCCTTCATTAAATCTATATTGCATCCACAGTAACGAACCTCCTTCCACTTATTTCTTTGTACACTTGGGGGAGATTTCCTGTAAGAAATTCCTAGAAATGTAATTGTTATGTCAAAGGGCATATGTAATTTCAGGTTTTCGTAGACACCGCCAAAACGTGTGTTTATGTAGAGAGTTTGGGTGGGGAGGGAAACTTAATCCAGGCTCCTCATCTGCCATCCCTAGATTTCAAGGCTCCCTCAAGCTCATGTGTGGTGTGGGGGGCAGACATTATAACTAACGCCCTTCCTTTTGGGGAGGCAAGACACAAAATCACCAGCAAGTTGCCAGAGGATTTGCAGGTGTGAGGGAGCCATGCTGACTTTCCAGGCCTGCCTCTTTCTGCCCTCTGGGGCTGCCTGACTAATGGTGGAGGTGGGCAGATGGTGAGGACTCCCTAAACACCTAGTTTCTCGCAGACGTCAGGCAGAGTGGGTGAGCAGTTCCTGAAATAGATCCCCAGGACTGGCTCAGAGAGGGAGGCTGAGAGTGGCAGTTCATGCTCTAAAGGCAACACCAAAAACAGGCCTGGAGCCTGAGGGAGGGCAGCCAGGTCCTGGGCCTCCTCCAAAGTGACCCCGACTCCTCGAGCGGGGACCCCCACCAATTGCTGTCTTCATGAATAGGGAGCAGAAGCCTGATGTATTGGAGACTTTGGCCAGTCTGGGTCTCTCCACGTTGAGTCCAGTCAGGCCCCTGGGTTAATCCTGGGTCTCTGCCCCTTCTGAATGGAAGGGCTTGGTAGGGAGGGGGAGGTAGGCGGGAGAACTTATCTCTTCATTCTCTCCCACTGCCTCCTATTAAGTCTAGTGAATGTTTGTTAAGGGGGGTAGGGCTGACAGCTGGGATTTCAAGATTGCAAGAGAGGTTTTATGCTTTTGATTGTGTTTGTTTTTACAAGATTATCCGTTGCTTTCCACTCCAGATGCAGACTCTTATCCCTAGGGAGAGAGAAGGCAGAATGGCTTACTTAGTCTCTGTGACTCTCCAGCCCGGTGGGGGTGGACTAGAGTCACTGTCCAACCAGGTAGCACTTCTGAAAGAAACCACCAGGCAAGATTAGGCTCTGACACCAGTTGCTGTGATGTTGACCAAGCCAACCCTAGTCTCTTGGTTTCAGTTTAGCCAGATGCAAAGCGAGGGTGTTGAGTAGACAATAGCAGATCTTTTCTTGTTCCTGTACAAGGTGGGCTTGGGGGACTCAATGGCTTTCTTACTTCATCTTATCGTTCTCTTACATACCTTGTTTGTTTGTTTAAGATTTATTTATTTATGCATATAAGAACTAAGTACAGGCCAGAGATGCAGGTGTGGCGGGTGAGAGGATTCACTAGAAACAGAGTGGGGAGCACAACAGGCAGATGGAGTGAAATATACTGCTGAGGGGAGAAGGGGGTGAGACAGAAGAGGTCTGCTGCACCAGGTGAGTCACCTCCCTGGCCGGGGATAGAACTCGTACTGTAGTGGCTGCCGAAAGTTTGACAGTGCTGAGACCCAACCCCTTTCCTCACCAAAGAGGCCCCTTGTTTGTTTTGTTTTTGAAATTTGTTTACTATCTGGCTTCATTTCCAGGCCGTCAGTTCTAGAGGGCAGCTGTCTTTC